CATGGTAAAGGTGACTGCAGAGCAGAACTTTAAAAGCTAGAATACATTCATCCAATTATGATCAACATTGAATCAAACAAGGTAATCAAAATATCACCTCAGTGTCTACTGGTGTACCTCATCAACCCTCAGTCAACTTTGGTGACCCTTACCAACCCTGAGTGCCTTCTAGTGACCCACGCCGACCCTCAGTATCCACTGGTGAGCCTCAACAACCCTTAGTGAGCTTTGGTGACACTCATCTACCCTCAGTAGCTTCTGGTGACCCTGAAAAAACCCTAGTGATCTTTGGCAACCCTCATCGACCCCCTAGTAATCTTTGGCGACCCTCACCAACCCTCAGTGATCTTTGGTGACCCACACCAACCCTCAGTCGATTTTGGTGACCCATCATCAACACTCAGTAAACTTTGGTGACCCCCCCCAACCATCAGTCAACTTTGGTGACCCTCACCAACCTTCTGGTGACCCTCACCAACCCTCAATGTCTTCTGGTGACCCTTACCAACCATTAGTGTCTTTCAGTGACTTTTTTTAATCCTCAATCAACTTTGGTGATCTTCACCAACCCCCAGTGATCATTGATGACTCTCAACAACCCTCAGTTTTTTTCTGTTGACCCTCACCAACCCTTAAATGTTTTTGGTGACCCTCACCAACCACCAGTGTCTTCTGGTTACCCTCATCAACCATCAATGTCTTGTGGTGACCCTCACCAACCCTCAATGTTTTTTGGTGACCCTCACCAACCATCAGTGTCTTTTGGTGACCCTCACCAAACTTGAGTGAACTTTGGAGAACCTCACTAACCCCCAGTGTCTACTGGTGGCCCTCACCAACCCACAGTAAACTTTGGTGATGCTCACCAATCCCCAGTGTCTACTGACTCACCATCCCTTCACTCTCTTTATAGGTACTACTATATGTAGAAAAGTAATTAGACTGAAAGAAACTGTTCACACATCACATTCATTACCTGTTTATATTTAATCACAACTTCTTAACATTACATTTAGCAAAGTTCTAAACTTTATTTGGGTATTTTCATTTTCAAGATTGCACTTTGCACTTGTCAGTGCATAAGCTGAACTTTCTTCAAAAACATGTTAATTTTTCTCAGACAATATTTAGTGGCCTTGACTTTAAAATACAAATACCTCCCTCGTCTGATCCTTCCTCAGATGGGACAAGGGCACCCCAAACACTTTACATTTCTTCCTTCACAAGAAAAGGGGTTAAGAATAAGAAACGACAAAGTGGGTTGTACATACAGCTGTCTAATAAGTGTTCATTATAACTAACTTCAAGTGAGGAGACATAAACTATATTATTTTTTCTCCACACACATACCAACACCAATTTACAGAGCAAGAAATGCTTTCTGTATATTGATGAGTTTAATACATCTTACAGTTTCATTAAGATAAGTTTATAGAACAGTAAGCATTTATGAATAACTAATAGGTTCAAACTACTGTATGTGGGGATAATATCGCATATTTACACACACACACACACACACACACACACACACACACACACACACACACACACAGGGTTTTCACCGACTTAACCAATCCGAGGGGTGTCCAAAGCCGTGAGTCAACTATAAATCGCCAGAAAAATCCGCAAACACACAAAAGCTCCACAAACGCCTGAACAGCCAACAAAGATCTCTCGAGTCCTGATCTCACGAGGAAGTATTTTACGTTTTGTCAATTTAGTGGCTAATTCGTAGGAATAGGGTATATGCCGAGCTAGTGTTTTCTCCATACTGATGGTGACCTGTTATTGTGAATTTCTTTCTAATTTATACGGTTCATTTTACAGCATCGATGTTGTAATGTAATTAAAATGCATACAGTTAAATAAACTTTGGCATTCATTTAGTTGCACAAGCGTAAAACGAGACAAAAAGCCGTTTACACGCACACGCCCGTCAGAATCGGCAGGATAGCGCAGAAGCTCCATTGAATATATTGGGGTAAAATAAATGCTCATATTACAACGACATGGCGGGGAAAAAATAATATAATGCAGTGCTTCTTGTACAATCTGAGACTCACTTTATATCGGATATCACGCCAGTTGAGATCGCTGAATTTTTAAGAAAACTGACCTTAAATGCGCCAATTTTTGCATTGGCATACAGTTGACCAGATCAGAAAATAGCCAAAATGTCACTAAATTATAATTTAACTAAATACAGTTTACAAGGCAAAAGTATGTTTGAAATATATGTAATAACAATATAATACATAATTAAATAAAAGAATATCAACACTTTTACCCGTTAACACACAATTATTGTTTTAACACATTTTATTACAATAATTGTAATTTTGTATATTACCCATAAGTATATAAAAAATAATAACAATATTAAATAAAATAAACTAACTAAATAAATAAATATTTACATATATACACAATCTAGCTGGTGTGCCACATCATGTAGCTATACAAAGGCTATACAAATTAGTGCTTGACAACATTATCCTAAATATGGTCTATCGTTCAGAGACTCTTCTATTCGAGGGCTTTCAAACCAATAATGTGCTGAAGTAAGAATTGTCTCTCTCGTTTCCATGTTACATACTGAAATGTAAAAATAAATCAGCAACAACAATATATATTAATAAAGAAATACATAATAAATAAATAAATACAGTAATAGATATAAAATATATAAACACATAAATAAAAAACAACATAGCGTTATATAAAAATAAATAAACATCTTGATTAGTTTACTAAAAATATTAATGAAAAATACAAGCAGAAAATAATAATGATTTTTTAATTAAAAAAAATACTATATTGACGATTAAGATTTATTTTTAACTTTATTTTTCTATTTTTGCACATACTAACTTATCATCTATTTATTGAAACATGTATACATATATTTAATTAATTTATTTTTAGTTTGACACCGGTCTCTTCCATCTCTTTTATAGGTTTTCATCTGACGCCATCTAGTGTTTATTAACAAAATATGCATGTAATGGTGGTTGATACAAAATTTCACCAAAAAATTAAAATAATAAAAATAATAATGAAAATAATTTCAGTATGATTTTATTGTCACTGATGATCTCATTAAAATGTTTCTAAATATTTTAATGAACAAAGTCTTCAATTACATGTTCTTTAAAAATGAAATGCTTTGAATTCACAGTTACATATCAAACTGCTGACATGGACAATATATAAAAAAGAAAAATAATACACACAAATACAATCCGGCTCTAAGATTTGCTTGATGTTGAGCAGATTTTTCATATTAATCGTTCTTGAGGCATAGAGTTATATTCAGGGCATTTTTGGCAACACTTTGCCACATAAACCAAACTTGAGAAAACTTGCTAGCCACCAATATCTTTTTCAACCATGAAGCTGTATATGCGTTGTTTCATTTAAAAAATGGCAGAAAAAAATATTACACTTTAAAAACTACTGGGTTGTTTTAATTTAAATATGGACATATAAACAGTTTTTAACCAAACAGGTTTGTCTATTCGAACATAGAATATTTTAAAACAACTCAGCATTTTCCGAGTGTATTATTATTATTTTAGTTGTTGTTATCATCATCATGATTTAATATATTTAATATTATATTTATAATATATTTTATTTAAAAAGTTATTCCCCAACATTTTTAATTTGGCAGAATTCTGCAGGAAAACTTCAGATTTTAAAAGTTTCTTTTTTGTCAACAGATTTATAAAGCATTCTCATTACACATTTGGCAAGATGTTTGGCTTTTATGCCTTTTCATAAGCCTATTATTAGCAACTCAAACTTGATTTTAGTCCGTGGTTTACCCTCTCAACCATATCTGCTTACACAGTTCACTCACTCACAAAATGGTTCCCAGGCTTTAAAAAAAACTTTTTGTTCAATTGAACACAAATAAAGAAAGCTGGAAACCTGATTAATTTACATAGTAATAAAAAACAAATACAATGAAAGTCAATGGTAACAGGCTTCCAGCTTTCGTTAAAATATCTTATTTTGTGTTTAACAGAGGAAAGTCAAAGGTTTGAAATAAGTGAGGGTCACCAAAGTTTTTGGCTGAACAGTCCCTTTTTTTAAGCTGTTAGAAAAATATATTTCAGGAGTTTGCCTACTTATTCAATTATGATAGATAATGGTAAAAAACCTGGATTGCGGTCCGCCAACAAGGTTTGAATTGAGCTTTATAAGTTTAAACACCACTATGTAAAAAAAAAAAAAAGACAAACAGAAGGAGGACAAGGGGAGGTGGCGAGATGTTTGAAAAATAAAAAATAAATAGGACGGTGCACTGGCTGCCACATGCTAATGACAGACATATCTGAATGATCAGGCACCTCCTGAACATATTGTAAACTTAATATATATATATATTAAAGGGCTAGTTTAGCCAAAAATTTAAACTGTGTCATCTTTTACTCACCCACTCCACAATGTTAAGAAATGCTGCATGGGTTACACACAATTAATTTGTGATGGAAGAACAAGAAGTAATTAAGTTCACTTATTAGTTTTTACAAATTCAAGTCGATTAAGGATAAAACAAGTTACCCCCTCTCGAAACAACAACAACAACTCAATAATTATGTTGTTTTATTTTAAATAAGTCATTTTAAATAGGTTTGTAGAAACAGCAAATATAATTGTTTTGACTGCACTTGTTCCAAACCGTTTGAGACGTTTCTTCTGTTTAACACAAAGGGAAGATACAGGCTCCTAAAGAATGTTTTGGTATTTTTAGTAAAACCCAACAGTCAACTTTATCAAATGAAATGAGTGTAGTTAACTCAAAGTTGACTGAAAGTTAATTCCACTCATTTGAAAAGAGTCTTGAACTCAGTGTTAAAGGTAAAATTAGTTAATCAAATACCGCATTACTTCTACTTGAATGGAGTAAGTTAACAATATTCATATAGATTCGTTTTTTTAATTCAAATGGTTTTTATTGGTTTCCTCAAATGCTTAAGTTGCCTTAACTATTTGGTTTTTACAGTACTCAATTGGTTTGAGTTCTCTTATTTCTTTGCGTTTACTGTGCTATATTTGCCTCATTTACTCAAATAGATTGAGTTCACAGTACTCATTAGGATTCGTTTTTGAGCTTAAATGGTTTGTTGCAACCTAGTTCCCCAAATGGTTTAAGTTACCATAACATTTTGGGTTTTACAGTGCTTTTCAAATAATGCATATTAAAACTAGTATTTCTGTTCCTACTACAGATGTCAATGGTTGCTTTTTCCCCAACATTCTTCAGAATATCTTGTTTCTGTGTTCAACATAAGAAACTCAGAACTCACTCAGAATGATATGTGAAATGTTCATTTTTTGAGTGAACTATCCCTTGATGAAAGACCAGTCCCATTCCACTGAGGATCACTCAACACATGTTCATAAGTTCACATTTACACACAGTCTATTATCATTCCTCCACCATGCAGAGTTCATAAGTGTGGTGGGAAGAATGCGGGCTGCAGAAAGCCATCGGTCAAAAACGGATGCAAGAGTCCAGCAGAAGATGCCAGATGCACCGGGCCAGAATGAAAGATCATGTTTCCGGTGCTAAACGGGGGGTGGAGCGCAGACGCGGAGCCGCAGGAGGGGCTGATGTTGGGTAGAGAGTTTGTGCCAGCTTGTAAGGAACTCTCAACACCTGGGTTCTGCTTTTTCCACTTGGTTCTTCGGTTCTGGAACCAAATCTTGACTTGGGTTTCGGTTAGGCTCAGAGACAGTGCGAGATTCAGTCGCTCGCAAACGGATAAATAACGCGTGGCGCGGAACTTGTTTTCCAGAGCCACCAGCTGTTCATAGGTGAAGGCGGTCCTGGCGCGCCGCGGTTTTGCACAGCTGTGATCTGACCGGCGCCGCCGCTGACGCGACACATCATCCGGCGCTGGAGTCATCCTCTCTTCAGCTGCTTCATCCGGATCTTCACAAGGAGAAAAGCCCGATTTCAAGCTTCTGTGCGAGGATGAGCAGTCAAAGTCAACATCTGGATCAGGAGGATGCAGTCTGACGCAGCCGTGACGGTCATCAGATCGATCTCCTGTCAATAAAAAGTGTTTATAAATTTAAATCACACATCCATTAGCTGCACATAAATTGCCAGCAACTTTCACAAACAGCAAGTAGCCTACTTAAACACGTTTAACCAAATTTGACATCAAGTAAAAATTTAAGAAAATGTAGGCTATATAAATGCATCTATATCTCTAAGAAAACATTTTTTTTCATTTGTCACAGAAAATGTAGGCCTATATACGTAATTAATCAGTATTTTATGACACACACACACACACACACACACACAGTAATAAAAAAAAGTGTTAGTAAAGTTTAGAGTAATTTGGTTTGGTGTTTTGCTTAGCACTAGCCCAATTATTATGTTATTTATTATTTGTATAAACCTGGCGTGTGCTGAATATAATGCATTTCTTAAGCATAAAGTGTATTGTCAATTTTTTTTTTTATTTTGTTTTATTGTTTTAAAATTTACAATAAATTGGCAAATGCATTACGGAAAATAGCTGCTTAATATTTAGCAACTTTGATTTATCAGAATTTGGATAGGCTAATATGCTTTCAATGTGGTTAGCAATGAGAAAGTGCAGTAATTTATATTATGCACCAAAGTAAAATATTTAATTTGCTATTAACATAAATCTTAGTAATGAGCCGATAAAAGCTGTAACTGTGCTGCCAATTATGTGATGAGTGATACACTAAAAGGTCCTGTATGGGAATGGGGGTAGCTGGGGGAGGGTGGAACTGTGTGGATTTCAAGGAAAGACTGGCGCGGAATTGGCCATAATCCCTCAACAATTTCCAAATCACAAATCGCCTCAAATGTCATGTTGCGGAAAGCAACCCTAGTTAAATCCAACTCTGCCATCCAGCCATGACGCGCTAATGGAGTTTCATATTTGTCGGCAGATCGATAAATGTCATCTATTTAAAGGGAAGTTTTAATCGAACGATATTTGGGATCAGACATGGCAGGGGTTTGAAGTTTGGAGCCGCAAGCTGCTGGAGGGAGATATGCAGCATCCAGTAATGGGATATCGATCAAAGTGAGCGCAGGCATCCTCAATGGGACGATTTAAACAATTATCTGCCCTGACTGTCCCAATGGCAATCACTTACTCAGCTGCGGCTGCTTAAAGAAAACGCAGTCTTGGAAATGAGGGGAAGGTCAAATTATACCATCTAATGACAAAATGGGCAACAAAAGGTCTGTTTGGAAGAGATATGTGCAATTACTTTAAAAAATAATCTTTCAAAAACATGAACATATTTACTAAAGATGAATGTGTTTTTGGTTTACACAAACAGACATAACAGGAATTATTTTACAACCCTAAGAAAAAAACTATAAAAGGTAGTTTTTACTATAAAAAGGTAAACACCGACTATACATATAGCGATTTAAACATTTCAACAAAAGTTGGATTACGAGTTAATCAACAGCTGTTTGATCTTTGTTTATCAACAAAATAGGCTATAAGAATTATACAACATAACGCATATATCATTCGTGTTTTATTTTAAAGGCAAGATCTATCGTTTCAAAAGTTGAAAGTCGCAGAACAATTTGCACACTGCTTTGGTTAATATTAATCATATTTCATACCTGTACTTTCGCATTCTCCATCACTGTGTTTCCCATTGCGCGATTCCTCCAAACTTCCAAATCCCGTGTTTTCTGAAGATGAGGTCCGTTCTTTCTCCGACACGTCTGTCTTTTTACTTGTGAACTTTGTAGGATCCAATATGTCAATAATCGAAAAGGAAATCCGATGGTCCGATGTACCTTTCCCTCCGGACTCCTGATATTCGAGCATCTTTCGCTTGCAGGTCAGTCTGATTTGTATGTTCTATTTCTATAAGCAGAGCAGATGCAGGAGCTGGAAACAGCGTGTCTTTGGATCGGAGTCTGCTCGGTCAGATGTCAGTGGATGAAGGTGCGCTTGAGCTCTTTAACAGGTCCATTAGAGGAGACGCGAGAACACGAGGGTTTAACGGAAAGCCTCTCGATTGGCTGAGAGCATTCGGTACTTAAACCTGCGCTCATTTCAATCAATACAGTATACAAGTTCACATGCTGACAAGTGGCATAACTCAGGACACTGTTGCATCTAATCCTTGGCATATACTCTTTTCGGTGTTTGTTTGCATAAAGGAAAGTACCCTTACCCTTATTTGTAAAAATCTTTTATACTTTATAGTTGCTGAATGATATTCGTTTTAAGATTTGTTTTAGTGGTTTCTGCATATGAAGTATTGAAGTAAAAACAAACAAATTATATACTTTCCTTTGCTTTTTTTTACATTTCGGAGAGAAATGATAAATATTTTATTGCACCAATCAATAAAATCACCAATTTTATTGTCAAAGACATTTCCCCTGGCAAATAAATGATTTTGTTCGGTCAGGGTTGGATTATTTTAGAGTCAATTGCTTAAGCCAGTATCTTCACATTCACTCCGTGGCATCCGTCTGCCAAAGCTTTGGATGGATCAATAAATGTGTGTCCAGCACTGATAAATGAGGGACTCCTATTCTGTTAGTGTCTCACTATTAACTTTTGTTATTCATTTTTCCCTGAAACACATACACTACTGGTCAAGAGCTTGGGGTCAGCATGGTTCTAAATTAAGCTTATTCTGCTCACCCAGGCTGCATTTATTTCATGAAAAATACAGAACAAGTTGTAAAATTGTGAAATGTTATTGCACTATAAAATAACTGTTCAAAAGTAGTTTGTATAATTGGGACTGTGACACAATTTTGCCATTTTGAAAGAAAATAAATTAGGTACTGGAAAAATATCCTTAAGCTTGTTTTTGATTTGACCCCAGCTTTGCATTTATTGAAACATAAATAACAAAAATATACATTACAGTTATTTATTGTCTTGGTATATCTAGCTACTTCATATTTTGCTACTTTGGTCTGCAGCAGGCCCCATCTTTCAAGATGTGGATATCACAAATCGCTATGGCTACCATTAGAAAAACAAACATTAAAAAAAATAAATAAATAAAATAAAAAAACGGACAGATTTTGGTCAAGTTGGTCTCCCCTTTGGGAATACATAAAAAAAGCTCTCTTAAATTTACACAGGATCCTTGTCATTCAATTACAATTTACAAGTGATTGAACTTTATTTTTTACCTATTAATTTTATTAATTTCTTTGTTACTTTCCATTCTGAAGACTGGACACTCTGTAACACATTTGTACATTTTGATGTTAGTATTTTGTGAATGTGGGCATACAATGATTTTAAAAAAGTAGTTTATAAATTAATTTAACAATTTATTCCAGTGATTTTAAAGATGAATTTTCAGCTTCATTATTGCAGTCTTCAGAGTTACATGATCCTTCAGAAATCACTCTAATATTAATTATCATCATCATCATTATTATTATTAATGGTAATAGTAATACAAGCAACAATGACAAGAGTACTACATACAATAAGAAAGCAGTTATTTAAAATTAATAAATATTTAACATTTTTTAACATTTAATAAATGTCACCTTGATGAACAGCATAATAAAATATGGGGAAAAAAAGACCCAAAACTTTTGACCGGTAGAGTACATGCCAAATTTAGCTATATACTGATTTTGCAAGAATAAATAGTTATTTGATAAATAAAACTGAACTATTTAATGTGGCCAATAAGTATCATCAAAAGAAGATCATTCGAAAATGTTTTATACATTTTCTTTTTTTTTGCTGATCCAGTCATTCAATGGGGTATACACTTGTTTAGACCTAACATTCTTCAAAATATCTCCTTCAGTGTTTCACATAAAAAAAGGAAAATCAAAATCTGTAAAACAATCACGCTATCAAGTAAAATCGGGTTAAATGCTTTAATCTCCACCTGCTCATTTTTCAATAAAGTGATAACACTTTTAAGTGTGCAGGTACTCACTGAAGATCAAAAGAAAAGTGCAGTCAAAATGCCACACACACACACGCACAAACAAACATCATATCAAACCCTTGTCCACAAATCAGACCACAGATGTTAATTCCTCTCCTATGAAACCTCCCACGGCTGCCATTCAATTGCATTTCTGCTTGTTTGCTGGCAGCCTGCAGTGTATAGTTTGCGGTTGTAACATTGTCAGACTTCAGACTGTCCGGACAGGGACTGTTTGCTTGCATTAGCATGTCTAAGGCCAGTGGCACTCACTGACTGAGCTCCATAAGAATGAAGGCTGAAGTCTTTCCTGCAAGTTTACAACTTCCTCTCTGTAGGCCTGACTTTATACACATCTGTTGACACAGGGCCCGAGCACAAAAGTGTGGCCCAGGGGGGCACAACGTAGACTCAGGTAGTCACACAAGAGGTGAGGTGGAGAATTTGAGGGCAGCAGCTGCTGTGGTCTCGAGGAAAACACCAGGCACTTTGCCTGGGGAGAAGAGCACACTTCTGGACAAACCTCCCCACTGTTCTGACATCCCCACCTCCTAACCCATAAACTCATCAGAGCACTGGGACGGTCTGCTAAATGTCTGATCATTCAGGTAGTTGCGTCTTGAGGTGGAGATCTGTTTACGGATGGGCGTGTTTTCTTTGTTTGTCTGTGTCCCCTTATTCTTATCCAGAGTACAGATGAACAATAGAATGGGAAACTGCTTAAACATCACTCTTTTGAAGATTACTGCTACATGGCACTAAAAGAAAATTGGGAAAGGAGACTTTAAAGATCTTATGAGGGGTGTAAAGAGTTTAACCGATCTGTCTCTGAAAAGTAGTGCTAGTTAAAATGCTTTAAAGACACTGCTGCTTGGATATAATTCTCAAGTGCTCTGTTAGGGTCGTTTTTTTTTTTTTTTACAGCCAATTTAGCTCATATGTTGTTTTGCAGATAGTTTCCACTATTTGATTTTTGATTTGTCAACATTTGTCAGCATTTTAACTTGATTTGTTTTGACATGTTTAAGACTGGGGCAGTACAGAGGCTCCGCGGTTAGCGCTGTTGACTCACAGCAGAAAGGTTGCTGGTTCGAATCCTGTCCTGCGCCAGTTGGCATTTCTGTGTGGAGTTTGCATGTTCTCCCCATGTTCACGTGGGTTTCCTCCAGGTGCTCCGGCTTCCCCCACAGCCCAAAGACATGCGGCAAAGATCAATTGAATAAACTAAATTGGCTGTAGTGTATGAGTGTGTATGGGTGTTTCCCAGTACTGGATTGCAGTTGCAAGGGCATCCGATGTCTAAAACACATGCTGGATAAGTTGGCGGTTCATTCCGCTGTGGCGACCCCTAATGAATAATTATAACTATAGCTGAAGAAAAATGAATAAATAAATGGTTTAAGACTTTTGTACATCTGTATAATTAAATTTACTGGCAAGTGCACTTAAAAGGTGGCACAGTAATTACATCTGAAGCTGAATTTTAATTATATTTATGCTGACAGTTTAATGCTGCTCAGAGGTGGAATAAATGCGTTTACACAGGAATTACAACTCCATACTGGGGCTTCTATTACAAGACAATTATAAAACCAGAAAGGTGTCACATACTGACGTCCTTTTAGACAAAAACATTTAAACTATTGTATTATGAAGGGCAGACCAGTATATGGTGAAACAGTGCAAGCCTGTGCATATATACACATTTAAAAAAAACAGATGTTTGCTATTTGTTTAAACTACTTATTTAAAATAAGTTGAAACAACAGAATTCTTGAGTTTTTTTGAGGGACAACTCAATTATTTTATGTTGAATCCCCTTAAATTTGTAAAAACTAATAAGTTAACTTAATTCCTTCATGTTGTCTCAACACAACTCAATTGTTGGGAACCCAGCATTTTACAGTGTACATTCAAAAAAGGATGTTTAGTGTTTGTTCAATCCACTTATTTAAAATAAGCTAAAAAAACAATTTTAGAGATTTTTTTTGATAGACAACTTAATTGTTTTATGTTCAATTCACTTAAAAATGTAAAAACTAATAAGCTAACTTAATTCCTTTATGTTGCCCCAAAACTATTTATTTACAGTGTGAGCCAGTAAACTATTGCTGTTTTAAAGCCATTATCCTAAATACCTTTGGGCTGAAAATGTAATATGCAAGTGTACACTACCTGATAAAAGTCTTGTTGCCTATGCAAGTTTTAGGAACAACAAAAAAATAACTTGGCTTCTAGTTGATCATTTGATATCAGAAGTGGCTTATATGAAAGGCAAAGGCCTCTAGATTACACTTATTTTACCAAAATAAAATACGATCATTCCTTGATTTTGAATTATTTAATTAGGAGAGTAAGATCCGACTTTGCTTAGACAAAAGTCTTGTCACTTAACAGAAATAATGTACAGTATAGAATATAAAGTCATGGTTCAGTGGAAACAGAATGAATATTGTGACTCCCATCAGCTTGGAGGACTTCATCCATACATCTCTGCAATGACTCAAATAACTTATGAATAAAGTCATCTGGAATGGCAAAAAAACTTTCTTGCAGGACTCCCAGAGTTTATCAAGATTCTTTGAATTCATCTTCAATGCCTCCTCCATCTTACCCCAAACATGCTCAATAATGTTCATGTCTGGTGACTGGGCTGGCCAATCCTGGAGAGCCTTGACCTTCAATGCTTTCATGAATTTTGATGTGGAGGCTGAAATATAAGTAGGAGCGCTATCCTGCTGAAGAATTTGCCTTCTCCTGTGGTTTGTAATGTAATGGGCAGCGCAAATGTCTTTGACACAGAAAAGTCATGCAATATAAAATTCATGAACACAAAACTGGAAAAAGACCTGATTTTCTCATACAGCATGAATGTCAAAAAAAAAAAAAAAACACAAATGCAAAGTGAGCAAAACTTTTGGCCATTATTTGAGAGTGATGATTTAGGCAGACACAAGGTCGGCAGCATTGTTTGGTAATTGTGCAAACAGTTCTACCTGTTCAGCAGCAGG